TGAGGACCTCTCAGAATCAAGGGGCGATGTGAAGGGGGTGCCTCTGGGGGCCTCCTAGAGTCCTTAGGCAGGAATGTCACTAATTCCGAGGGTCGCCCCTGCTAAGCTCTAAAATCCCCAAGGCCATTCATCTTCCAAACTTGTTTATCAGGATCACTATTTTATGGCTCAGAACCATTCACCTTTGTTCTTCCAAGTGTCTCTTTGCCTCCCACCATTCCCAGGGACCCAGGTCAGGTCAGGGAGGGAGACAAGGCAGGCGAGTCTCTGGAACAGTGGATTCCACGGATCAGAGCGAATTCCAGGCCTGAGACCCAGGGACCCTGGCTCATGTCCATAATGGAGGGAACAACTCAGATGATTATCTCAGGCACTCGGAAGTGAGTTAAGCTTCCCCTTCCTATTCAGCTCACACCGGAGGGTCAGCAGGAAAGAAAGGAGGCCCAGAGACACTGGGTTTCCCTTGGGTCTGACTAGAGGCAGCGTGTAGTCAGGAAAGAGAAAGAGACTTAAGCTCACTGTGCCTCAGTTTCCTTTTCTCTGAGAGCCTGGGGCTAAACATCCAACACTCTGCATTTCAATAAATTCACAAAACAGATATTTGTCAAGTGTGGACTATGCGTTCTAGACCCTGTGGACACAGCAATAGGCAATCAGACCAGTGCCTGCCCTCACAGAATTTACATTCCCAGGGAGGTGGCTACCAGTAATAGCATCATGCTTACTACCGAGGAGCCCAGGTTTATGGAGGGAATTAACATGCCAACAAGGTCACACAGCTCCTAGATGGGCTGCATGGCTCTCTCTCAAACACTCCTCTGAACAGCGAACAGCACTGACAATAGCTAAGCAGGGGCTCTGCTGCGACTTCGGAGCCCCAGCTTGCAGCAGCCCCTGCCAAGGCCCTGGGAAGGGCCTGGAAAGGAACGTGTTCACACAGCCTTGGGTTTCTTTAAGCTTTGCCAAAGTAAGTCTTCACCACAACTGGAAAGGGCACTGTCTCTTCTCACTCCAGTTTGCCTTCGGTCACTCCTGCCCTCCTGTTGTGTGATGTTACAGTGGCCTCGGGCATTCGGGAGTAGAGTCGGTAGGACCTTGAGTTTGAGTCTAGCAGGATATATACATGTGGTTCACAGCCCTCTCCACGTAGAGTTGAGTTAATCGCTCACCCTCCAGAGCAGGCACAGCTCCCAGCAGTGCTCCCATACCCAAGGACCCACTACCCAGTTCTGACACCGCATCAGATGTTGAATCGACACCACACGAACATGTCCAACAGGGCCCAACCCAGACGTGTGTGGTAGGGAAGAAAGAGAAAGGTTTGAAATGTAGAGTCAGATGCCAGCCTATGAGAAACGCTTCCAATGACTAGAAGTAAAACTGCAAGTGGAAGGATCAGTGCCTCCAGCCAAAACGGAAGTTCTCTTCCATCAGAAATATACTCGATGTACACAATTGAAATGCACCACAGTTTCTTTTTTCGTTTTGCATGGGAAGCATGCAAACTAGAATTTACCACAATTCCTCTGTTTATGGGACACGAACACAGAGTACTGCTACAAACAGTGCATTCTGTGTGAATCTGCTCATTTTCTGCATCTAAACTGTCGATAATAAAAAAACAAATTTTGATCAACCATGCTAGAGAAAAAGCTGAATTATCTTTTATTCTCTCTACAGAAAATTGCTTTAGAAAACTGTTATCACATGAAGAAATGACCAAAGAGCCAGAAGCCAGAAAATGTAGGAATAAAAAGTGTTACTGAGGGCCCGGCCCAGTGGCACGTGGTTAAGTACGCATGTTCTGCTTCGGCGGCCCGGGTTCGATGGTTCGGATCCCGGATACGGACATGGCACCACTTGGCAAGCCATGCTGTGGCAGGCGTCCCACATATAAAGTAGAGGAAGATGGGCCCAGATGTTAGCTCAGAGCCAGTCTTCCTCGGCAAAAAGAGGAGGATTGGCAAGCAGACGTTAGCTCAGGGCTAATCTTCCTCAAAAAAAAAAAAGTATTATAGAGGTGTGTCAGGCAGTTAATTAATAAAAGGGTTCTGTTGTTCTTCCGGATTTTACAGTGTTTGAGGTATCTGTTGGCTTTTAAAATGTGTCAAGTGTTGGAGCTCTTTTCTAACTCTAAATAAATATTCACTTACATTCCTAATATTGGATTTATAATTTCGTAATATTTCTCTTAAAGACAACCTTCAAATTGTATGAGCGTCTGGCTTCCATAAAGCCTTGGTGCTCTCCTGCAGCCACCATCTCCTGAGCAATTATGATGTGTCAGGAACTCTGGTAAATCCTCTACATGGATTACCTAACTTAATCCTCAGTCAACCCACTGAGGTAAACTGAGGCCCAGGGCATTTATTCTGCACAATTCGGCTCCTTCTGCAGGGTTGTAGCAAGGATTCAAAATCACGCAGTGCCTGGAGCAGAGCCCCCCCAGAACTGGAGCTTTTATTACAACTCGCTGTGTCTCCTCCCTGAGCCCGTTTCCTTATATTTAAAGTTGAAGGGGTAAAAAGAGATTTAAATATTTCTACGTGCACAGAGGACATCTGTAAAGATATAGAATGTTGGTAACACTGGTGCCTCTGGGGAGGGGCCTGGGGGTGGGAGGGAGACACACCTCACTTGTAGTTTCACATTTTTAAACAAGTTAATATATGAAAAGTACTTGGCACAGTATTTTCTAAGTGTTCGATAAATGTTAGCTATTGCTATTAGGTATTGTTATTGTCAATTATTAAAATAAATTAATTTTGAAAATAAAGAGTTGGGCCCTGATGTCTAAAGTCCCTTCCAGCTGGATTTGATGTTTGTTTTTAGATAAGAGTTCCTAGCACTTACCAGTGCCGGGGCTCTAAGGCACTGTTGTGTTTAACATTCCCTGCATCTCTACAGGGTAAGTACTATTGTCATGCCCATTTTGCAAATATGGAAATAGAGGCACAGAGAGGTTCAATAACACACCCGAGGTCACACAGCCGATGTGGTAGAGGCTAGTATGAACACCCAGGCCAGGTGACTCTAAAGGCCACAGAATGGCCTCACTGGACCTCCTCCTGGTATGTTACGCAGGTGCCCCAGCATTGTTTCACTCCTAAGGTGCACATCTCCAAGGAGCTTCACGAGTAGCAGGGCAGTCGCCAGGGAGCCCAGAGTGTAGGATAGGGAAATGCTGTCATTGCAGATGTGAAGGCAGCAGGAGAGCACTAGGGGCTTATTGACCAGCTAGAAACTAAGAGGGAAGGGAGGCAAGAAGGGAAGAGGCAGGCAAGAAATGTGTGAAGCACCTACTCCATGCGGGACAACAGGCTCACCGTTTCTCACCTCTCCTCCCACCACTGCAGGGGGTCCCTGCTATCCTGAGGCCCACTTCTGAGCTGAGCAGACAGGCTGGGCTGGGAGAGTTCACAGAGCTCCTGAACGGTGGGGCCTGGATACCCAGGGCGCTGAGACTCACTGCTCTCTGAGAGCAAAGAGCATCTCCCAGCCCTTCCTCTCCCCCTCCAGGCCTTCTTCCTTGGCTTGTGCAGCCAGAAGGAAATATTTATATACAGCACAGCTCAGTTCAGCCAGCCTTGATGGCCTCTGTCCTACTGGAAAATCTTGTGGGACAGGAGGCCTCCTGAGTCTGCCTGCCAAAGCAGAGACCCTTCCCCCAGAGGGAGAGAGAGGTGGGTGAGGCGTGAGTTCTGCTGCCCAGGAGCCTAGAGGCGTCTTTCCAGGAGAAATCCATTTTGGAATCTCCGGCTCAGCTCAGGAGCACTGGGCACCTCGGCTTCTGTGTGACCTGTAAGGGCAGCCCTGACCTTCACATGCCTCACATGTCGTAATGAGGCGGTCCACAGGAGTGTCTCGGATTGCTGAGGGCTTCCAGCAACAGCTACCTACTAAAAGTCTGGTCACATCATAGCTGTGTGACCTTGAGCAAGTCACTTGACCTCTTTGATCCACAGTTTCCTTCTCTTTAAAATGATGATTACAAATTAACACGTTTCTGCACAGTAAAGATGTCCCCCCAACCCAGCCTAGATGGCAGGTGCCTTGAAGAAAGGGACCAGTCTGACACATCTTGCATTTCCTTCAAGGTGCCTTCCTAAGGCAGTGTGCCTTACTCCTAAGAAAGGGCTCAGCACAAATTTGCTAATTTAAGACAGATTGAGTTGTGCAAAATAGTATGTGTTATGGGGCATTCAGATCTGAATTCAAATCCTGACTCTGCCCCTTAGGGAACCTTTCAGAGCTTTAGTCATCACTCATAACTATGCCTCCAAGGCCCCCATGTCGCAAAACTCTAGCGGGAGCCGTTCTCATAGGGTGAGGCACACAGGACCCCTATTCCAAAACGGGGTTGTAAGGATTCAAGGCCACAGTGAGAGCAGTGGGCTAGCACAGGCTTGGATCAGAAAGTGCAAGTAAACGTAGTCAGGAAAAGCACGAATTAAAAGAAGATGCTAAACTAAGCACAGCAGACTAGGTCCACAACACACTACCCAAAAGCTTGAAGAATTCTGTTAATATGCAAAGATAATACCACAATGTTTTATTTTCAGGGACTCACTCCTTTTCTGGTTGTTCCAGGAAAGGTTTTATGAGCCTTTTTTTTTCCATTGTGCATGTGGAAATGGTTCCATTAGCAAAGATATATGAATTTTTAACAACACCCCCCAAAAATGGTCTATTCACATAAATGAATCTTAATCTTCATTTTATATGGATAAGCTGCAGAGCTGACATAAACAAGGGTTTTTCTCTTTTAAAACTGTCTCGTCATTCTAAGAACTTGACGCTGTTTGCAAACACCCTTTTCAGGATTTTCAGGGACTCAGGTCTTTCTACTGCAAAAAAAACCTGTGCAGTGACCACTGATTGGACTCCAGCAGCACCGCACTCTCTTGGCAAAGGCCGAGCGGGCTCTTTAAATTCTGAAGATTTAAAGGAGGAACTTTAGTCACTATCTCTGTGCCGAGCCAACAAGACAAAAAACCCACCTTCTACCTGGGAAGTTCTTAGGAAACAAGTTCTGATTTCCTCTGCCAACTCTTCTGCTCTTCTTTAGACAGAGTTTGTCCGCGTGGGGCCAGCCCTGCTGGAACATCTGTGTCTAATCTGCATTTGCACACATAGGTTTAGTCCAGGAGCATCCATTGTAATGGGGAGCATCCGCATGTATCAGGAAGAAAAGAGGTCTGGGGGAGATGAACCAGACGGGGAGAACCAACATTAGGCTGACGGCGGAGAAAGGCACCAGGAGTCAGAATGCCACCACTCTGTTCATCTCGCTACTTGAGAGCTGTGCTTTACATAAAACAAAATAAGAGAAAAACTCCTCGGCAGTCTACCTCAAGAGGATCAAGCCTTCCCTACCACTCTTACCTAGGCAGAGAGCCGCTGCCACTCTGACCCAACCCCAAACCCATTCACACAGCTGAAATAATGGCCAAGTCGAGCAGGGGTTGCAAACTCCAGCGCCTAATGTAAAGATGAGTGGTGGGGGTGTGGCAGTTCTGTGGGCCCCTCTCGGTGTGCCTGTGGGTCCAGCAGCCCAAGCTTTCAACCTTCCATGCTGGGTCCCTTTACTGCCACCTCTGCTCAGCAGCCCTTAGCCAGTGACCCTGCCCACAAATACCCCAAAGGAGACATAAAGGTTACATAATGATAGTTCATGGAATCTTACATCCCCATTTTAAACAATAATTAGGAAAACTACACAGGAACATGTGGAAATATCTATAATATAATGCTGAGTGAAAAATAATCAAAAAATCATAACTATTACTAAGTTTTCCAACTTTGGATGGAATCAGACTGAGTTCAAATCACAGTTCTGCCACCTATGACCATAAGATCTCTCAGAGCCTTGGTCTCTTAATCAAAGTAATGGGGATAATCATTCTTTCCTTCTACAGTTATTGTAAGGATTTGGTGAAAAATATGTAAAAGCTTTAGCACAATCCAGTTCACACGATGTGCACATGTGCAAGGATAAAGATGAGAATGGAGCCCAAGCCAAAGGGCAGGGCCCTTTTAGAGATAAGAAGACATGGATGGTTTTGGGTTTTTTTGTTCATTTAAGATTGTTATATCTTAACAAAGTATACAAACATAAATGGGGACATTGAACTAGAATAATACAAATAAATAAGATTCCTCTAATTGACAACCCTGCCCTTCTCACTCATGCTGGGAGATGCTGTTCCTATGAGGTCTGCTCTTAGGACAATTTATATAAAAATTAGAAAAATAGGAGGCTGGCCTGGTGGTGCAGTGGTTAAGTTCATGCACTCTGCTTCGGCAGCCCAGGGTTCACTGGTTTGGATCTTGGGTGCAGATCTACGCACCACTTATCCAGCCATGCTGTGGCAGGCGTCCCACATATACAGTGGAGGAAGATGGCAAAGATGTTAGCTCAGGGCCAGTCTTCCTCAGCAAAAAGAGGAGGATTGGCGGCAGATATTAGCTCAGGGCTAATCTTCCTCAAAAAAATAAACAAAAATTAAAATCAAAATTTTAAAACTCAGCAAAATAGGAAGACTTCGTGGCTTCCCGACCCCAAGTCCATGCAACTCTTCAGCCCGTCTGTTATCTGTTTTCTTAATGAATCTTCTACATCCAATGGGGGCAGGGAGTGGGGAGGAAGTAAGGCTGGAGGCAGAAGGACAGATTCATAATTAGAGAACATAATAATTAGTGTTTTGGAGAAATGCGTAGCAGTGCTCTCAGAACTGCTGCGCCTTGGTTCCAGAAGCCTTAGACAACCTTCAGCAAACCACAAGGCTGTCCAGGATGGTGTCAGCCACCCTTGAAACTGCATCTAGCCTGTGGGTTCCCGCTGCCTGTGTTTAGGAACCAGGCTCCAGCAGGACCGTTTGCAGCAGGCGGGATGTGTCCAATCAGAGGCAGATGACTGGGGCGGGACTTGATTTGTTCCTAGACAGTTATCAGTGGAGACAGGCTCAATTATTTTCATTATACGGAGTCAACAGAGACAGGACGAATAATGGGTCTGAGCCAAAGAAACAAAGGTTAGGGTCGGGGGAGAGAAGGAACCGAGGGGGAACCTTCCCAGGCCTGCCATGCCCACTCAACCATGATGCCAGGGAGGGTGAGCAAAAACGGGAAGACATCAGATGCTTGTCTGGTCCTGCTCTGCTGCTCCCAGCATAAACTCCTAGAGGGCCAAGATCGCATCTACTGTGTGACTGACTCTACATGCCTCACGTGGAAAGAGCTCCATCCAGACCTCATCTATATGGTCCAGCGTTATGAGGGATGCAGTAACCTGGGGCCCTCTTACTTCCACCCCTTTACCCAGCACAGCCCTCTTTTTCTCTCCAATTATATCAGCTCACGTTACTAAGGGCCTTTACTGCCAGGCACTGTGCTAAACACTTGCCGCACACCATCTTATTTCTCTTTCCCAACAACCTGTGAGGTAGGTACTATAATTCCATCTTACAAACAAGGAAACTGAGGCTCAGAGAGGCTTATGTGACTTGCCCAAGCTGGTAAGTGGGCAGACCTGAACAGACCCAGATCTGTCTGACTCCAGAGCCCAAGCTCTCAACCACTACGGTCTTTCCCTCTTTTCTTCTCCTTTCTCTCTCCTCTGCTTATGCCAACGGCTCTCTGACACCCTCTCCCTCACCCCAAATCAGACCCTGTATCTTCTGCAGTTCTGCGGCTACGCAGGAGGCTGACCTCGGACAAATCAGGCCCCTCAGGTGGAGGAGTTACTGTTTCTGAGATTTCTCAAGAACAGGAAACTTCCCGGGCTGCCTGCAATAAATCCAATCCTTCCTTCCTTTGTGATTTCACCCCGGGAGCAACCCTCCAGGATGACTCATCTCCAGGCCGGCAGGAGATCTGCTCTGGAGACTGGAGGTGACCTTGGCCGGGCACTCACATCCTGTGCCTGTTTTCCCATTTGTCAAGTAGGCAGCCCAGCCTCCCTGCCAGGCCTGTTGTGGAATATCAGAGTGAACACAAAGCATGTCGAAAATAATTTTAAAAAGAGAATGCAGAACACTGGCAGCCCTCTATAATTCCCACCTACACCCCACATACCAAACCCTTATCTAAATCCTATCCAGTCTTAATTCTGGCTTCGAGTTCCTCCCTTCTCCTCCTCGGTGTATGGACAAACCGTGATGACCAGAAGAAGGAAAGGTGACAAGGATAATGACCCTTTTTCTCCAACCGTAATTAACCACTCCTCTGTCAGCCCCCATGTCCCTACTATAAGCATGTAATACTAATAACAGTTAACATGCATGGAGCCCTAGTTAGGTAAGTATTTTACATATCTTTTCCTCATTTAATCTCTTTATGAGAGTCTATGACTTGCCCCCTTTACAGATGAGAAAATTAAAGTTCAGACCGTTGATTACAGAAAGTTAGAGCTCACAGATCTAGTAAATGTCAAAGCCCAGATTCCAAATCGCATCTGTCAGTCTCCACCCCACTACGGCCTCCACTTACTTATCTAAACATCACAGGCCCCAGCACCCTGGCCACCTTCCTCACTTAATTTTCCCCCAAGGTTCTTATGCTCTTTAGTAATGCGTTGACTGCCCTGCCCTCCTCCACCTGGGTAGACTGTAAGTCTATGTGGCAGGGATTTTTTTGGGTGTATCTTGCCACTGCTGTATCCCCATGGTTCCTAGAACAGTGCCTGACACATAGTAGGTACTCAGTAATTATTGAACAAAGGAATTTGGCTCCCAATTCGCACCAGCTGTTTTTGACTGTCCCATCTCCCAGATTGGAAATTTTGGCAGCATTTGTTCATCTCAGTCCCCCGTACCCTGCATCCCCTTCAGAGTCTACATGATACTTTGAACATAGTAAAACATTCCGTAACTATCTGGGGGCAGGATTTAACTCTTTCTATGTGGTTTTGGAATGTGCATTGGGGGTGGTCTGCAGTTTGGGGAATTCACTCTCTGGAGAACGGGGAACTTACGGAGCTGGCTCTCTGCAGCCCAGGGTCCAGCACTCCCCGTCCTGCTCCATGATGCGGATGCCGATGGACAGGTGGGCTCGCAGCCTCATGCAAAGGTCCCTCCTTGGCTTTTGTTTGCCATGTTTCTGACTCATCTTCCCTGGGCTGTGGGAAAGGGTTCGGTATGTGGCTTCACAAACTCTCTGCTGAGCAGCAGGCTGAGCGGGCACTGGAAATGATACGGAAAAAGGATCTAATTAAGCAGAGTAGGTGATAGCGTCAGGAAGAAAAAGCAAGCAAGTGGCAATTTGGATATCTGCCTGCAAATAAAGGAGATGACTGTCGTTTTCTCCTCTGGCTCCTGTTTGCCCTATAAATCTCAGTTCACTAATCCAAGTGTTTTAATTATCGCTGTATAATACAACATGCTGTGTTAGGCCCATGGTGGGGAAATTAAAATGAAGGAGGGGGGTGGAGCGATTGAGGCTACCCCGTTCTCCCATTTTTCTTGTTTACATTAATCTGAAGGTGTTTTTCCCCCTTCGACCATAAACACAACATGGGGTTTTCCAGCATCAAACATATTACCTTCTTCCACTCACGAAAAGGAACTTCAGGCCCTGAGCTCTCTCCCCAAAAACAGGCAACTCAGGGGCCAGGAGTTACCTGGGTCACTGTTGACACTTATCCCCAAGAAATCAAAAGAACCAGGCCGTAAATTAAACACCAGCTCCAAAAGGAGAGGCCCTGAGTGGGAAGCAGCATGGCAGTTAAGACTAGCATTCGAATTTCACCTCTACTACCTACTAGCTGTGTAGCCTTGGGCAAATCACTTAACATCTCTGAGTTTTGGCGTCTTCAAATAAAATGCAGCAATAACAGAATTAAACATACAGTTGTGTGTCGTTTTACGATGGAGATATGTTCTGGGAAATGCATTGTGAGGCAATTTTGTCAATGCGTGAACATCATAGCGTGCACTTACACAAACCTAGATGGTATAGGCTACTACACACTTAGGCTATATGGTACTAATCTAATGGGACCACCGTCACATATGCGGTCCAGCACTGACCGAAACTTCCTCATGCGGTGCGTGACTGCACAACATAAAGCACTTAGCACGGCACCTGACATACTGTAAGTGCTACACAACACGCTCCCATCTCCTGGCCTTTATCTTTGCTATTCTAAGTGCCTAAAGAGACTTCCAGAAAGCTGCGCGGCTCCCTCCTTCCTTTCCTTCTCAAATGCCCCCTGATCAGTGAGCCTTCCCCTACCACTAAATAAAATACAAGCCCCTCCTCTCCACACACACTGAATCCCTCACTCAAAACTGATCCTGTTTTGTCCACAGCATGAAGCACTACCCGACATCTGACATTTACATTTATTTATATATCTATATGTATTATTTGTTTAATTTTTTTGTCTCTTTTGCTGAAAGGTAAACTCCCAGAAGGCAGAGCTTTTGTTTTGTTGACTGCTGTATCTCCAGCACGTATAACAGAGGTGCCTGGCATACAGCGGATGTTTAATAAATACTAACTGAATGAATAAACAGAAGCTCTTCTTCTGATGCAGATGACTGGAAGGGCCATCAGAGACCACGTAAGCCAAAGTTCTTCACAGCCTAGGAAACTGAGACCATGAGACATCAGATGACCTGCCCTCTGGTTCCTGCTTCCCAGAACTGAGTGGTGGCACAGGCTGGGGTCCCTGACTCCTGGTGTCTTGCTATGCCTTGAGGCAGCCTGCTCAGACCAACGACTCAGCATGTCGGTACCCTGTGCTCCTCATCCCGGGAATGGAAACAATTAAGCAGATGGCTCTGCCTCCCAAGTGCTCGCGACCCGGATGCCCCAGTGACTGGGCAATCTATAAAAGCGAAAAGGACAGGTGGAGATACCGCAGCCGCCCTGGAAATCCATCGACAAATGTGCTCACAGTTGAGGAACTGCAGACAGCTGCAGCACAAAGGAGCCAAAGGCCACTGCATTTCTCTCTCAAAATCCACCGGCATCGTGGACCCTCTTGGCTTTCTGCTCTGACTGAAGGCAAGCACGGCGCTCCCATTTCTGGGGAGCCTGGATGACTTCCTCTTGCACAAACACAGGGGACTCCGTGGGGAGAGATGCAAACCCCAGCTCCACCATTCCTAAGAGCATAATCTCTCTGGGAACCAACTTTTTATCTCTTAGGATCCTTCTTAAGATCAAATGAGAAAGCACATAAACAGCACCTGGCACAGTGCGTGGCACGTAACGCCATTAACTGTTAACATTAACTGTTCTATATGACACTGATGATATCCAGAGGCACAACCCTCCCTCCCACCACCCTCATCCACCTCACTGGCTCTTAGCGCACAGCATCCAAGGTCTCATAAATGAAGAGGGCTATTCAACCTTAGGGATCCAATACCAGATAATTTTTTAAAGGATCCCATTTTTCCATTCAAGTAGACTGGAAAGAACTCAGACTCCACACCAGCTCCCCCTCTTCCTACAAGCCACTCGAACCTCATACAACCCCAAAAGGGAAGATTCAAGTTTAAGAGTGTCAGCCACTCAGGTTCTCTTTTCTCAGAAAGTAGGATCTGGCCCAAAGCTCCTGGAGGTTGAGATGACAAAAGACGAAAAGTATCCTATGCTTCCTTCACTACCCATCTCCCTAACAGAATAACCACATTTAAAGTACTGAAGAAGGATACCACCAGTAGTCAGCATGTGGTAACTACATGAGTCCTGCCGCTTCCACTTACACTGTGTGAGCTGGTCCAGTGCCTCAACCTCTCTGAACTTCAGTTTCCTCTTCTGTATAAAGGGAATAGCAATGCCTATCTCATGCAGCTATTGTAAGGATTAAATGAGAGAATGCGGCTAAGGATAAGCAGAGCGCCTGGGGCATTAGCTGCTGCTTTGAATATTCAAGTCAAGAGGCCTGGGCGCAGCCAATGCCAGAACCAGAAGCATTAACTGCTCCAAAAGAACACTCCATCCAGCAATGAAGCCCTTCCCTAGACCCCAGGCCAGACTTGACCACTGCACCATGGGCTGCAGGTTGGGAGCAAACACTGAGTCCAGCAGAGGCTTCCAGAAATCTTACAAAGCCATGGGAGAAAGGGTTGGGAAAGGTTGCCGTGCAGAAAGGCACAGGTGGAACTAAGATCCAAGCTGCTCCTGAAAAAGGGGGTACCCGGCTGGAAGTGGTAGGGGATGCTACTCATGAAATAACCTGGTCTGAAGTAATTGTTGCTCGGGACTTCTCAATGGAAACTGCCACCTTTGATGACTTGGGATTTCTAGAATGTTCCGGCAGAGGTATGGCTCAAAGGTTACAAACAGGAGCTCTGGAGTAAATCAACCCTAGGTAGGGTGTTCCAACAGCCGGTGACTTTCGGCTACTCACAGAACTGCCCCCCACCCCCACCCCGGGCCTCAGTTTCCCCGGACACTGGAGCTAGTGATGACTGCCTCTGCGGCCAGGTTGTGGGCTGACACCCAGCGGGCGGGCGGGCGCGCCGAGGCGCTTCTTGGGCACGGCCAGGGCGACCCCGCGAGCGGGCTCATTCGTTCAAGGCGGAAAAAGCCGAGGAGAGCCGGGCGGCGCGCGACTCCGCACGAGCTCAGGCCCTTGCTCGGCTGCAGCTGTTGAAAAAATAATCAGAAGAAAGCAACTGGAACGCGAGCGGCAGGGCGGGGGGCGGGGGTTCCTCCCGCGGCGCCCCGGAGCCGCCAGGGCCGGTGGCCTGGCCGGGGAGGCCGGGGCGGCCGGGGAGCGGGCGCCCCGCGGGAGCGCCGAGGCCCCGCTGCGCCGGGCCGGGCGGGGGCGGCGGAGGCGGAAGCGGGGGCGGCCGGAGCGCGGTGGGGATGTTTAAAGGAAATTTACAATCATTTCCTCTCTGTGGTTTGGTGACAAATCAACAACATCCTGTTCTTTTGTGAGGCTCCGGGCGCCTGCGAGGCGGGGGCAGCGCTCCGGCTCTTAAAGGGACACACACAGGCCCCCTTCCCCCCGCCACTCCCCTGCGGCTCCAAAAAAAAAAAAAATACAGCCTCCCCAAGGCGCCACCTCCGGGGGCGCGCGCGCCCGGAATGCGGGGGCTGCTGCCCAAGCTGCCCCCGGGCCGCGACCCGGATCACGTCCCGTCTTACCCCTTCCCCACCCCCCTTCCCCAAGACGGGAGAAGGTGGCGGTGGCGCACCCCTCTGATGGATGTCGCAGTCCCGGGCCATCTCCCGCCGAGGCGGCAGGCAGGGGACGGAGGGGCGGCCGCCCGATGGTTCCCTTTCCTCCCCCCGCAACCCCATGGCAGCGCCGCCCGGGCTCGGACCTCCGGGTAGTTTTCATCCCCCTCCCCCAATTCCCTCGCCTCGAATTTTCCAGCCCTAAAACTCTGGATTTATGGTTAAAATGTCGACGTGCGCATACGAGGTTTATAAAACGCCAAAGCAGAGAGGCTTCCCGAGCTGTAGGAGTAATGAGAATCAGATGGCTAGGACCAGAAAAATAAAAAATACTCAATTGCCCTCCTGGGATTCCGTTCATTCAGTTATTTAACGAGTATTTTTTACTAAGCGCTGGTCACCATTCTAGACCGGGTGAAGCAGGAACAAGACAGACTCGGTACCTGCCCCCCAGGGGTCTTAGGTTCTCCAAATAAATGAATGAATGAAAAAATGAACAGGATTACTTCACACACTGTAAGTGCTATGATAAAAGGGTCATATTCTAGAACCGCAGCTTTCCATGGGGAGGGCCTCTCTGAGCAGGTGACTATCTGGACCTGGGACCTGAAGGGTGAAAAGGCATCAACCGTGGGAAGAACTGGCTGAGAGGTCCAGACAATGTTATCAGGAAAGAGACTGGAAGCAGGCGCAGCCCCACTGCCCATCCCCAAGACCACCTGAAGGGCGGCCCCTCACCCCCCAGGTTTCCCTTAGGAAGACAAACCTTGGAGGTTGGCATCCAGGATAAGACAGACCTGGGTCCTTCTGGTCTGGTTGTATAGCCCTGGCAAGTCCCTTCCCAACTGTAGGCCTCTCAGTCTCCTCATTTGGAAATTGAGAACACTGAACTAGATTGAGTAGTTCTCAACTGTGGGTGCAAATTAGAATTCCTCAGGGAGATCTTAAAAAATGCCGACCCCCTGATCCCACCTCAGACCAACTGAAATTAGAATCTCTCGTAATGGAGCCTGGCACTGGCTTTTTTCTTTTTTTTTTAAGGCTCCCCAGGTGAGTTTGGTGTGCAGCCAGGCTTAAAAGCCAGTGACCTAGATGATCTCTAAAGTCTGGGTTTAAAGAGCAATGAGAGCTATTGCAATTCAGGGTATAATCATTCACATCAAATGGTTAGCGTCTACCATATAACACACCAAATGTGCTATGTGCATATTTTATTTAATTTAAGTTACCAAGAAAAGCCCTACCAAATTAGATAGGTACCATTATTATGCCCATTTTACAGATGAGGAACCTGAGGTACAGAGAGGACATGAAATTTGGTCATGAGCACACAGCTAAGAAGCGGTCTTGCCTGAATCCTCTAAGCTGGATTGCCTTTCCAGTGACAAGGAGCAAATTTCTACCCAATGGAGTTGTTAATCACACAGAGTAGCTACCAAGAGAAGAACCTGGGGGGCTCATACATCTTGGATGGAGGCAAGGCACTGGCCTGAATGACCTCTGGTCATTCTAACAGCCCCAAGGTGTGCACGCCCAGAGTGCAGGTCGCAGATGATAGAGGGTAACTCTAAGAAAACAGCCTTTTATGTTTCTCCACATTGATCTTCTCGGTCGCTTTCAAAGATGATTCCCATAAAATGCACGGTTTTGCCTTAGCCAGACAGAGGAACCATTTGGCAGAGCAAGGCGGAAAGAGAAAAACTTCCTGTGTATCCCAGTATGGCCAGGATAGAATACACTCACCCATCCCCACACTCTCCCATATGGGCCCACCACTGCCCTTTTCACCCTTTGACCACCTTCCCATTTGTGCAGTTCCCCGAGGCAGGACCCAGAGGAGGGCGTGGTCATTGGGAACTGAGACACGTTCCCAAGGGAAGTAAAAAGTCTATTAAAAGAGAGATTGGAAAAAACGGAAGATGGTCCATTCTTACAGAGGAATACTGTGCTGCTGTTAAAAAGGAGAAGAGAGCCATATGGATTGACTAGGAAGATGCCTGTGATATACCAGGATATACAGGATAGGATCTTCTCACTGATATTTATGTAAACACCACACACACACAGAGGAAACCAGCAAAACCATCTGGAAGGACAGACTCCAAACTGGTCCAGTGATGACTGGGCAAATGCACGGCGGGGCACAGTGGAAGTGTGTAATGTATGAATGGTATACTTTTACTTTTTCTGTATTAATCTCCATATTATTTAAGTTGACAACAATCATGTATTAATTTTTTAAGATAAAGGTACTTCTATTTACAAATAAAAATAACTATTAAAAGGGGGAGCATAAAAGACTACCCCAGGCCCTGGGAATTCTATCCAGGGTAGACTCTGGGCAATGCCATCTTTGCAGATTGTCCCAGCTGGTGTTAATGGTGCCATCGCTCTTCCACAGTTACTTTCTCCTCAGCATGCCGTTTCAGTGGCGGTCTCTTACCTGGTCAGCTGCCTCCCCTTCAGTCAGGGAGTGTCCCACGGAACTTCTGGGGTGCAGAAGATGGATTTGAGAGCTGCCAGCTCCAACTGATGTAAGAGATGACAAAGCTCTTCTGAGATGGAAGAATTCCCAAAAGTGCTACTTCGTGGTGGAGGTGGGTGAAGGGAGTGGCATTGGCCTTCAAAGGTTCTGACTTCCCTGTGTGTCTCTTGTTGTTCCAGAAGCTGAGAAATGGAATCTTACAGAGAAACAATAGTGCTTTGTGGTCAGAACTTTATTCCAGAAATCCCAAAGGCGAGGGGCAGGGGTCTACTTATAACCTTATATGCAGAACTGTCTCCTCCGATGAGGGCCCTGATAACTCAGCAAATTCATGGCCTGCGTGACCAGCACAAGCTAAACGGTCATGCTCAAGGGTGGAATTGTTTGGCCCATCTAGGCTTCCTCTCATTGACGTTTTCTTAGCTCTTTGTAGTTTATAAACAGCATAATGTCGTGGTTAAGAGCATGAGCTAAGGAGACAGAGAACCCAAGTGGGATTCTCAGCTCCACCACCCTCGCTAAGCCTCAGTATCCTCTTCTCTAAAACAAGAATAATGATAGTACGCACCTCATAGAGTGGTTTGGTGAGAAATAAATGAGATAATACAGGAAAAGTTCTGAGTCCTGTACCTGGCACACACAGTCAATGGTAATTGTTGGTTTCATAACCAAAAATAACAAGATCCAAGGTAGTTATTAACTGTACCTTTCAAATGACAATAAGGAAGGTGACTGAGTTTAGTGGCTCATTGACATTCACACACTTAGTAGCTTCCATATCTCAATCCTAAGTCCGAACATTGGCCTCTGGAATTAGGTCTTCCAGAAGACCCGTGTCCATCAAAACCCTACATGGTTGACCTAGTACTACCTTCGAAAGTTATCACTTCATGTAAAGTCATTCAGTAAGGCCCTATTTACATGTGCCCTGTGCTAGCTGCTGTAGAGGCAGATGAAGACAAATGAAATTCCTTCCTTCTGTTCATCTGGGCCTGGCCATCTTTGATCCTTCCCAAAGCCCTTAGAAATAGGCATTTTTTTGTTTCATTTTTTTTTTTTTTAACATCTGCTCCCTCCTTCCTCAGTCTAGTTAGCAGAAAGAAAGTTTCTGGGGGTAGGAGGTTTAAACTGATGGGCCATTAACAGCATAACAAAGCAAAAGGAATTTTCCAGGTCACCAGCCAACAACTTTAGAGCGGTATTTAAAATTCACTTGCTTAGCGGGGGAGGGAAAGAGGTTGATCAGGAGAGGGTAGGGAAGGATTTCTCCTGGCTGATGGGGAACTGGGGAACGCCCTCTTTTATGGCCAAAAAACCAGTAAACAGCATAACATGCTGCTTGGTTTCTGGGTTGATCTTTTATTGTTGTACTTGAAATGCAGATATGGGAAAGAAAAGAGTCTGTCTGCTGAATCCATAAATAAAAGTTCTCCTTGGCTTCAGATTTAGGGAACACCTGGATCTCTGCCTTGCTTCCACCGTGATTCGCTAAAATATGACATACCAATAAATTTCTTCTGAGCCCAGTGAACAGACACACAGACACATACACACTCATACACACTCTGCCTTATTCCAGCTGTGGCAAAGTTCAGGAGGAGAGGAGCTGTGGTCATGCTGTGTTTCCCTCACCCTATGTTTGCATTTTTAAATATATTTCTTGGCAGTCTGGAAGTCATGGGGGAAGGCAGCTTCAGCACTTAATTGGTACGCAGATCTGTTCTAGTAGGAACGTTCTTCTAGGAATCACCCCTGCTGCTGAAGGAAGAATGACCAGCACAGTCCTGCTCAAATTTGGAAGCTGGGCCTTCCCACCTCCCTCTCCCACTCTCCCCTCTCCCACACTGCATTGCTCCAAACTTTCATAGCTCTCTGGCTGCCTGCATAGGCCTTAAAATTCCTACAACCTCTTGATCCTGGATGCTTCTGGGGGCCCCACCAAGTTGCACAAGTCTGCTTAAGTAGTATTTATATACCTTTTTAGGTTTTTCTAGTACAATGGCTTCCAAACTCCTTAAAACTCAGCTGAATTCTTTTCAAAGGAACATAAAATATGAAAACTGTTGTTTCTGGTTGAAGCCAGTCACACTGTTGTTCAAAATAGTCCCTAGGATTCCAGTTTGAGAAAATAAATCACTATTTTAGAATGTCATTCTACTATCACTTTAAGTAATTTTGTGTTTATAAAGGAAGTCCAAACTCCTCACTATGCTTATAGAACCTTTTTGATCCTGCCCTTGCCTACCTGAGCTCCATGCAGTTATTCCCACGTTGTCTACCCTCTGGATTTGTTCCTCGGTTTTGTTGGTGCGGGTTTTCCACTAGCTTCCTGGGAAGAGATACACAGGAGGTAAATTTTTTGAGGACTTGCATGTCCAAACATCTTTCCTTTGATTCTTTCTTCACATTTTGATTGGTAGTTTTGCTAGGTATAAAATTCTAGGTTGTAAATCTTTCTGCAACAAGTGGGAAACTAACTAGGCCTCTCCAGTGTCCATGTGTTTGAACTAGAAGTTCATTTTGCATGGAACACCCCCTGCCCTTGTGTACTCAACACTTCATTATTCTTGTCGGGGAAACTTTCCTGCCCAGCCAGCCATCTACCCCCCTAAGGCTGGGTAGATGGCTCTCCTAGTTGCTCCCACAATACTGGGTGCTTACCCCCTTGCTACACTTATTACACCGTATTATCATTACCTGTTTACTTGTCTGTGTCCTCCACCAGTTTGTGAGCATGAGGGCTAAAAATACAGAGCCACAGTGCCACCCAATAAATATTTATAGAACAAAGGAATAAATGAATAGTTGTGATGGTATTTTTTTTATTATAAGATATAGTCTATAATGAAATGTTTGAGAAATGCCGTTACCAGTTGGTGCATGCTCCAGATTTTGAGGGTGGAGAATAAGATTAGTCTAGGGGAAGAAATGCCACCTCAATGCTAGGAACATGGAAAGAAACCTTACAATTTCTTGTTCAACATCTGCCTTCCATGAGGACAGGAACTAGGTCTGCCCTGCTCACTACTGTGTTCACAAGAACCAGACCATGATGACAGCTTAATAAAGAGCTAGTGAATGAAGGAACTGGTCCAGACAAAGGGAGTCCTACATGTTATACCACCGAGAAAACTAAAAGAGAAAAAGTCACTAAATTGTCTTGACAATCTTAGGAAAATGCGAGGTTTGGAATGAAAACTCAACTCATCATCTCTTCCCACCCCACCTCCAATAGCAAACCAAAACCCTCTCCCAAGTCCCTCTTCCAGATATGGGCATTCCCTTCTTTGGACACTTGGATTTGAAGCCCTGGAATTATTTGGCTCGGACTCTCTGCTTCATAGTCTGTTTCTTTTCAATCAAGTCCTGTTGCCTCCTCTCCCTTTACAGCAGCTTTCAAACTGACCCTCTTTTTTCTTGTAAAAATTTCTTTTTATTTTTTCCTTTCTTCTCCCCAAAGCCCCCTGGTACATAGTTGTGTATTTTTAGTTGTGGGTCTTCTAGTTGTGGCATGTGGGACACCACCTCAGCATGGCCTGATGAGCGGTGCCATGTTCGCACCCAGGATCAAAACCAGCGAAACCCTGGGCCGCCAAAGCAGAGCACTCAAACTTAACCACTCGGCCACGGGGCCAGCCATGACCCTCCTTTTTCATTCCTCTTGCTAGTACCCCATCGAGGCCTCCATCACCCACTCCTAGGATTTCACGTGGCTCCCTCCTTCACTCCGAGGCACTTTGATACCTCTGTCAAATTAATCTCTCTGAAGCATCACTTTTCACAGTGTCTCTTCACTGTGCAAAACACCTGCAGAGGCTCTTAATTTCCTTCCACATTAAGTCATAGCTCCTCTGCCAGTTTTCAACCCTCACAATTACTTCTAATGCTCTGTTTTCCTTCCCTACACACACCAACTCACTCATCGCACATGCAGAACCCTCACTCTGATTAGGCAAGATGCTTCACTGTCTCAGAAACAACAGAGCAGCTTCTGTACACTTTGTACATTCTCTTCTCTAGAATGTTCCCCCCACCTCTCTCTTAATTCAATCTATTCTTCCAGACTTGGTTTAAATCTTTCCTCTTCTAAGATGCCTTTATTGACAACTTCAGGCCTTGCTGATCTCCCCAACTTTAAAATCCAAATAGTACTTATCATCTTTGCAGCCCAATTAAATCCAGGTGGGTACCTTATATGAGACATTATATGATCTACACAGCTTAGTAGGGTCTTCCCCAGCTAGCCTGCCTGCTCATTGATGCAAAGATATGAGGATGTCCCGTTCTTACGCCTGAGGGCCCCTTAGAGTTCCACACATAGTAGTATTCAGGAGGTGATAAGAGAGCTGCCTTCAGAAATAGACGAACCTGGGTTAATCCCAGCCCTACCAATTACTAACTGTGTATATTTGGGCAAGTAATTTAGACCTTCTGAGCCCCAGTATCCTTATCTGTAAAATCAGGATAATAACAGTGCTACCTCACAGAGTTGCTGTGAGGATTAAATGAGATAACGCTAAGGAAAGCAGTCTGTGCATTGCTTTGATACACAATGAGTACTCAATATATGTTAGCTTTTGTTATAAGAGACTCCAAACCCTGTTCTTAGAGTTAAACTTCGGCCTTGATTTTGCTTTGGACTTTCTGTCACTGAGTCAGCCTTGCAAATAGTGATTTCCCGCCAGTCCCTGCTTCTGTGTCCACCCTTGGCTGGTCAGAGCAAAGCTCTGCAAGCAGTAGTAGGGGCAGTCCCATCATGCAAGGTCACCTCAGGCCTCACTTTGTCACTCCTCCTGCCCTCAGCACGCCTGGATTCAGTACTGAATTGTTTTGGAGCTATTGGTTTGGGAACCTTCTTAAGCCTTACTTTCTTCCACTTTTTCTTTACCATTATGATTTTATGATAAAAGCAATAGATGCTCGTTATTTTAAAAAAAAAAAGTGCAGAAGAATGTAAAGTGAAGATCAAAGTCTCGCTCCCCACCCAAACCTCAATTCCTGCTCTTCAGAAGTAACCAGTTAGCAGTTTCTCGTGTGTATTTCCAGAAACCATCCATGGCTGTAGAAACATATACATACACATACACTGTTCTGTGGCTTGCTTTACTCATTTAACAGTCAGTCTTGAACACTTTTCTAGTTCCACGCCCGATAAGTCCACCACACTCTGTTTAGTGGCAACACAGATTTCTTTTGTACTCTCTACCATTTCTTCAGTCCTCTACAGACGGGCATGTAAGTTGCTACAGTGTACTGAAACACTGTGATGAACATCCTTGTATATGTATATATATCCCTGTGGACTCCTTAAGTCTTTGAGGCTTCTGATTGCCAGATTAGACCAGACTAGGGGAGATTCTTCAAATCTGGTTCTACCTCCCAAATTCTTCACCCACACACAGCGTTCAGTCCCTAGACCCCGTGACTCAGGTCAGTAGTGTGACCACCTAGCCTCACGTCAAAATAGAAGAAAGAAGTCACTGGACTGTTTCCTCATGATTCGCCCATAGGAGCTCACAGAACCCTCGATTCTCCCTTTCTCTGGAACCACAGGGGAAATCCCGTGCAATGGGGAAAAGGATTCAGAATCTGGCTGTGTTCTCAGGTAGCCCTGAGGAAGCCCCAGAGAGGGAAGGAAACACGTTTTTGGTACATGAGACACAATGCCAGCTGTTTTCAGTGGGACAGGGAGGGATGTGAGTGCGACAACAAGGACAGGAGCTGAGACAGGCTTCAGGTGGTGGCTGGGAGGAGGTGAACATACAGGGCTTTCATCAGCAGTGACTCGGTATTATTATCCTTGCCCACATCCGTCCCTTTACGCCGTGTCCTTTCTCAGGCCAAGGACAGGATGGAATGGCAGGAACTGGGACTGCTTATCCCCAGCTAAGTCTGACTCATGCAAGACCCCAAGCCAGCCACTCACTGTCCCCTGGGAGAAACCCCAGGGGCCCGGGTGGAGCTAGGGCTGGGAAAAAGGTGCCCCTGGACTGTGTCCAAATCGCTTACTTAGAGCTCTGTGACCCACAGTGACTTACCAAACCATCCTGTGCTCCAGTTAGCCAATTCCCCTATCTGTAAAAAAGCAAAAGCAACACCAACAGTCCCTGTCTTGTACCCTCCTCGAGAGCAGGAGGTACCCCAAACGCTGAACACAGGACCTGGCATTACACGAGCAGACCATCAACCTTTGATATTTGCTCCCCTGATATCTCCCTCTTCCTAGCACAGTGCCCAATTCAGAGTAGAGGCTGAGTTAAAATTTTTTTTCAGTGGATGAATGAACAACCTCTTCATTTCTGGAGGACAGACGGGAAAATTGCAAAGTGACCCCCAAGGGCTCTCCGAGCTCATGTCACCCCATTCTCTTCTTTACACTGTGGCAGCTTAGTGACCATGTGGTTTGGTTTGGTTTTCACTCAGTTTTCTCTCTCTCTCTCTCTGGCTTCCTAGGAGAAAAGATGTTCTCTTCTCCCTGGCTGGTCCTCAAGACCCAGCCGCATAAGAAGAATAAGCTCAGGGCCAAGGTCCTGGAATGCAGCCTCACCTCCGAGTTTCTAAAGAGAAACCGAGTCCCAGGACCATGTGATATCAGAGGAGGGAGGAAAGGAAATTCATTTATTCATTCTATATATATGGAATATCTACCCTGCCTGGGAGTGAAACCAAAAGCTTGGCCCTGCCCACTCCACTCTCTTCCATGTTGGCCTATGCTCAACCCCTCAAAGCCTGGCCTCCAGCTCTCTGCTGACATGGCTTCCCTATAGAGAGCCCTCAGGAGCTCCCACTTAATCCAGACGCCCTTTCCTCCATTCTTGCTCCTCACTACCTCTGTCCCAGCATTTTCTCCTCCTTTGGTTTCTCTGGGTGACTCTACTCTTCCGTTGTCCTCTTGTTCCCTTCTCAGTCCCCAGTACTTGCCTTCTGTTATGGGCTGAATTATGTTCCCCCCAAATCCGTACATTGAAGTCCTAACCCCTGTCTGTACCTCAGAATGTGACCGTATTTGAAGACAGAGTCTTTAAAAAGTAGTTTAAGGAGGCCATTAGGCCGGGCCCAAATCCAATATGACTGGTATCCTTAGAAGAGGAAATTAGGACACAGGCAGAGGGCAGACCATGCGAAGACAGGGACAAGACGGCCACCTACAAGCCAAGGAGTGGCGCCTCAGAAGAAACCAGTCCTGTCAACATCTTTCTGATCTCAGACTTCGAGTCTCCAGAACTGTGAGGAAATAAACTTCTGTTCTTTAAGCCACCCAGGCCGTGGTGCTCTGCTATGGCAGCCCTAGCAAGCTAACACAGGCCCTGTATTGTTAACACAGACATT